TTTTTACAGAGTCCAGATGGAAAATACTTAGCCAGTGGAGCGATAGATGGCATTATCAATATTTTTGATATTGCCACTGGAAAACTTCTGCATACGCTAGAAGGTAATGGTTTGTTGTATATTTGCCATACCCAAGTTCTGGCTTCAGTCCTCAACAAAAATAAAGGATATAACAGAAGTTAGAATAAGATGTAACAGCCATGGCATAAATGAGTTGATACTTCTGTCCATTAGACTGTATTTAGTTATTTAGTGTGCTGTGACTTAAACCACTTAAAATATTGAGGCAAACTGTAAAGTCAGGCTTGCGTCATAAATAGCTGTCTCAAAAAATACAGTCATTAATGCTTAACTAAATTGCAGTTCCTTCATGTATTGCAGTGCAGTACAAGGGAATGAAGCTAAGCCAAGTGTGCTGCCCTGCGTATGATTTTTGATTTTGCTCTGGTATCAGTTTTTAGAGCAATTTATTCCTGTTTTAAAAAATAACTGAACATTTTATTTTGTAGAAGACATGCATTTTTCTCACAGATAAATGGGCTTCTAATGTTCATGCAGTTTCTGTCCAGTTGTATAGTTAATTAAAAATCCAACCACTTAATATGAAATCATAGTAGAAAATATGACATAATTTCTAATAAAGCTAAAAATATCTTTTTGTGTGGCAGTGGGCGTGCCCTAACATTCAAAGCTCAGAATTATTGTCAGTTTCCATTTTAGGTTGTGCAAAGAAACCTGTAGAGGCATAGGGAGAAAGATTCCTCAGGAGTTGCTTTCTTTTAACAGGGAATGCTGTCTGGTGTAGCTTCTTAAGCACTGCCATTAGTAAGAGGAATAGCTACATTCTAAGCCATATATAACTTTGAATTTCAGGTCATGCGATGCCTATTCGTTCACTGACGTTTTCTCCGGATTCTCAGTTACTTGTAACTGCTTCCGATGACGGCTATATCAAAATCTATGATGTGTAAGTTGTTACTTTGCAAGACATGCTAACAAAAAAATAACTCTTCAGGTAGACTGATACCATAAAATATATATCAAACCCTCTGTTCTCTATAATTCACTTCAGCTTTTGGTGACTTCTTTTCGTAAAAAATACTCTGAAATAATAAAATACTATACCCTTAGATGTTTTTTTAAAAGTATATGGGCGGATGACAGTCTTAACTTGAAAACAAATTACTTTGCTCATATTTGCCCTGTAGGCAACGGGCTAATTGTTTTGTGTATCTGTCTTGTGTGTTTGTGTTTACCCATCTTAAACGTCTGTTCTGTATCCAAGAAACTACATTCATGACCTATTTCTGTTGCATTGTGCAAAAACTTGAAAGACCCTGGGGAGGAAAAGGCACTGCTTCAGTTACCTTCACTCCCTTAAGCCTCCATTACTTTGCCTTCGTGGTGAAACTGTTTTGTCCACCAGTGCATCTTCTTAGTGACTTCCTTTTATGTTAACCATTTGAAATGGAAAACCAGAATCTGTTGTAACACCAGTTCAGCTTGAATAAAAGTCCGGAAGTCACCTGCCATGAGCTCACATTGAACCATTCTTGACTGCACTAGCTAGAGTATATTTTTGTTGCTCTTTCCCTGGAATTCACAAATCAAATGTTAAAATTTGTTCTTTCCACAGGCAACATGCAAACTTGGCTGGCACATTAAGTGGTCATGGATCATGGGTATTAAATGTAGCATTTTGTCCTGATGATACCCATTTTGTTTCCAGGTATTGAGGATTTTTAACTTGGTTTTGATAGCTGAAAAAAAACCCCACAAACTTACATTTATAAAAGGGAGATGGATCATAAGAAGTAAATGCATACAAATTGCCATGGAATCTATAATAACATACATTGCAAATAAAAACTCAAAAGCTAATCAGGGATGATACCAGTTCTGGTGAATAGTATTTTATAGTGTAAGTAATCCCACTGCAGTGTAGTTCCCTACAAGTGAAGAACATCTAAACCTAGGAGAAGGGCAGTTTGGTTCTAAATAGCTGAAAAATGACTGTTGAATTAAAAAGCACAGCCTAATATAGTAGTACATTACTCTAGCTGAAATCTAGTGTTAACTCTTAAAAATCTCAGGCAGCTGGGGGGACCAAGTATATGTAGCAGGAGATTATGCAAAGAACTTGCTTCAAAGAATTTTATGGCTAAAGTAGGAGTCTTCATTCTTGTGTTGCAGATACTGAAACAGTAAATGTATTTTAAAGGTAACTGGAACCTGGCAGGAGCAGCACTGCTTTGCAACTTCATCCCTGTATTTGATGGGTGAAAGGGGGTTTCTTATGTCTCCTGTATGAGATATTTTAAGCTTTGCACTAAACTGTAGTTAATCTATTAATCTAAACATTGATCAATATTATTTTTCTTTCAGTTCATCTGATAAAAGTGTAAAAGTTTGGGATGCTGGAACAAGAACCTGTGTTCATACTTTCTTTGACCACCAAGATCAGGTATTGCTTTATCTAGGTCACTGTGTCCACTGGAGAACTGTAGTTGCATACTTGTGCATATTCGTGCTTCAACTTGGTGCTCTAGCTTTGGGGTTGGACTTCAGCCTGCTGTAATGAAATCTTAAAAGTTGTTGATGATTGTTTGGCATGTAGTATTAAACTACTCCAAGCACACAGGTTGATCTTTCCCAAATAATTACATTTTTCAGATCGAAATAGGGGCAAGCCTGAGTGGCCAAAAAGATTCTAACCAATTCTTTTCTATTTGTCTGTGGTCTTACTTATTTCTGTCACTTAATCAGCATGTGCATGTGTAAGGCGGGAAAATGCTTATTTAAAAGGATGGAATTATCTACAAAGATTCTTGAAAGCACCCTTAAAACTTGGGACTTTTTCCTCCTCAAATGTGTGTAATACCCTACTTTTTATTTTTACCTCAGTGTTAGCTAATCATGAGGGAAGAGGAAATTAGGTATCTACAAGTTATTCTTTTTCCAGATGTTAGGTGTTAAATAGAACAATGCAATTTTTAAATGGATCATAGAGGAAGACTTAAAGAAGGAAATTCTTCCAGATTTTATTTGGGCTATTTCTTCCGTAGTATTTTTTTGCTGGTAACCTTCTTTTCAGTTATCTACAGGTATGGGGGTTTTAGGATTGAAGGACCAAGCAGAATTGGCTATCTAGTGTTGTTTTAGCCATTGTATATAATCTTGCAAGTATTTGGAAGGCAGAGATGTATCAGCTCTTGAGAAGGCTGGCTTTTAGGTATTAATGCAGAATGGTGTGCAAGATTCCCCAAAACATGCTGTTGTTAATATACCCATTCTGCAATCTGGGTCACCTTTCTTCCTCATGTCGTCCTGATAATGGAGGTGGGGGTCACTTCAGTTTGTATAACTGTCATATCAGATGACTGACCTGAATTTTTCTGTTTTGCACTCATAAGTAAATGGCTCAGTGCGACTATAAACTGGATCATTCTTCAGTCTGTCCTGATGTGGCACTGCATGAAAAACACTTCCTCTCTTGCTTTCCTGAAAGCACTGTAAAATACTCTTTTCAGCAAGGAAGTCAAGATAGGCAAGAGTGAAAAAGTTAGGTTTGATTTATGCAAACTGGGGCACATACTTTCCAGCCTTTTTCAAGTATCCATTGTTGGTAGAAGTGGAATCCAAGAACCTGTGAAGCTACTAGATGGCAGGGTCCTGCTCTGGTTCATTAACCTCATCTGTTAAAGCAGAAGCCATAATTGGACCAGCTCTCTTAAGTTGATCTTAAATAATCCTCCCTCTTCCGCTCGTTGTAGTCAAAAAATGAGTGCTATGGTATTTTTTATGTGTCTCCTTGTGATAACCTTGTGAATGTTCTACTTGCAGGTTTGGGGAGTGAAATACAATGGAAGCGGGTCCAAAATTGTATCTGTTGGAGACGACCAAGAAATTCATATTTATGACTGTCCTGTTTAAATGTCTTGTCTCAGACTCTGCTTAACTCTAGTGCCAGTTTTTACCAATACTAGTGTCCATTTATGTAATTTTTCACTATGATAAAAGCGTTTTAGTAATACTGATCTGTAAAACCAGATATGTTTAGATGTAATTTCAATTTTGTTCAGCATGAGAGAAAGCTTTACTTTTTTTAAAATAAAAAGCTACAGCTGCCAGTAACTTATGCCTAATGCATGGAAAAAAAATGTATTTTTGGATATACGGAGTCATGGGTAAAATAATGGCTCGGATAATCTCCCCTGCCTTTATACAGAAATAGACTGGAGCTGGAAAGGGTTGACAGTCTCCAAGCAGCTTATTTTAGCCAAAGGAAAAGCAAGTGAGGATCTGTGGTGTACATATGGGAAATGGCAGCCTGCATGCAGCACGGTTCTGTTCCTGAGTACAACAGGGTCACTTAAGTTGAACACCTGTTCCACCAATTGTGTGGTAGCATCCAGCTCATTCCTCAGTTTAATTTCACTAAAGGGTGCGAGTTGTTTCCAACTCTGACTTAATACAAACTCTACTAGAAAACAGATAAAAGGAAAAAAAGCTTTAATGTGATCTTTCTACTATGGTATCTTGTAATGTTATAAAACACCAGCAGTATACCCAACAGGTGGTAGTGCTTTATTCATCTTTGTTAAGGCTCAAATCCTCTTTTGCAGGGAAGGTTGAAATGGAGAGCTGGAACTTCTGAAAGATCATTTTTTTTTTTTGTAAAGAGGTACCTCTATGGAAATTCAGAGTAGGTAGTGTACACACCATACAGATTAGGAGGATACCTTAAAATTCAAAGTTACATAGAGCACAACAGCAGAAGAAATGCTACTCTAATACAACACACAGAGGGAAGGGCGCTATTATGCAATGAGGGGAAGCATGCACAAAATGCTTTTGAAATACAAAATGAGACAGGTACTAGTGTTGCAGCTGACAAAGTTGAATATGGAAAACAGTCCAGACTAGGTGATAAGAGTCTGAGCTTAGAGAAACTTTAAAGAGGGCTCTAGAGTAGCTGAGAAAGTACAAGAGAAGCATGATAAAATGTGAAGAATTCTATTTATTAGAAGTTATTTCTGCTATGTTTTATTCTATGAAATTAATTTTCCAGTATGAAAGTATTTACATAAGACACTCCACTTAGCCTCTATCAATAGTGCCAAAGTCTTATATCAATAGCAGAGGTGACATAAATTGAGAACCTTCACAGCAAAAGAAAATGTATCCCAACTCAGTTGGTTCTCAGCTGTGTGACATTTGCTTTATATATAAAGACTACAAGAACACAATATAAATTAGTTACAAAAAGGTGATAACTGACAGCGCAGCAACTCAATTTGCTGAACACAAAAACCACAAGCAGTGGCTATTACAGCCATGCAGTTTTCATTGTGAAAATTTACATTTTAGATGACAACCATTCCACCTTGCTTTAAGATGTCTGGCATTGTACTCCTGTTCTTGGACCCTCCTCATCTTCTTCATATGCTTCTCCCCCACTGTTACGGTAGGTTTGCTCACTTGGATCAAAATCTTCAAGGTCTACCTGATCCATCTCGTCTGTAATCATAACATCTTCTCGTGGAGGAAGCAGAGCCTCCAGCAGACACAGTTTCTCCCTTGGGAGCCAGTAGTGCTCTGGGAACTGGACCTACAATTTTACATTTTTATTTTTAATGAATAATTCCTCCTCATGCCAACACATATCCTTGCTACAGAACAGGAATCAACTTACCAAAAACTGTATAATTAAGCTGCCTTTGTCCATTGGAGATTTGTAGACGGGCATCCCTTCGTTGTAGATACACTTTAAGTCACCATGTTTGATCACTTCACCTACACAGAGGTAAAAGCTCCAAATTAACTTCTGTGACATTTCATAACAATAAAAAGCACGCTTACACACAAGCAGTGTTCCCATAGCATCTACAGGAGACTACTAAGCAACTCCTAGAAAAGGCTACAGACTAAGGAGTAATAAAAACCAAGCTATACGTAAGACCATTGAGGCCATTTCCTTTACTGTAAGAGATTCAGCTCTTAACACAGCCTTCAGGCTGAATTAACAGATAGTCTGGTGGAGTTAACATGTCTGGCCTCTTGAGTATCTTCCTGGCTAATCACCAACTGAAGTGTATTAAGAATCATCTGACAACTTCAGCTATAATTCTGTATGTGATGTTTTAGAAGGAGTGACAAGAATGACAAAGAACGAGCTAAATTAAATGACTGCAAGGGTAGTTTCAGTCTACTGCATCAACTGGTTTAAAAAAAACCCAAAAAGCACCCCTCAAAGTTGCGAGCAGTTTATATAGCATCAGAAGTCTTAAGACCTACCTGGCCTAGATGTTATGACAAGAACTCTGTTATCCAGAGTTTCAATAGTCTTTCTGAAACCACATAAAGCCTCTGAGAGTTGAATTTTCATTTTTGTGATTAAGTCATGCCCTCGCCTCTGAAAGACACTGTGATCCTTTTGATCAAGCACAATTATAACATCACCAGGTTCCAGATCAGGCTCCTGGTCACCTTCTCCATGAAATACAATCTTCTGACCATCTTTCATACCTGGAGAAAGGAAACTCATTTATTCTCTGCAGAACTACAGACTATGATTAGGGACACGGAAGAAATAGACAGTTCTTACCTTTATCAACATGAACTTCTATGATCTTTTTCTCTCTTACAACCTTACAGCCGTTGCAGTTATCACACCTGTCCTTTGGATTTATTCTTTCACCCTGGCCTTTGCATTCTGGACACACAGTTTGGATTTGTTGTACCATGCCAGGTCCAATCTGCTGAACTAGAACTTGCATTCCTCTTCCTTTACACACAGGGCACTTCTCTATTGCCCCTCTCTTTCCACCATAACCTTTAACAAAAAAGTTAAGTATGATCTCAGTCTCAAAAAAAAAAAGTTACAGTAGTCAGGCTAGAACTCACTGACTTCCAGAGCACCTTTAGGGCAACTGGAAGACTAGTTCAGAAACGTATTTCAAATATAATTGGAATTTCTTTTCCATCACAACACATGTCCCACAAGATAGAATATTCTATGAGCAAAAGAAAGTCAAGTTTTTTATGCACACCTTAATAGCCTCTGCCCCACCTCCCAATACATCTTAGTTATGAAGGAACTATCAGCACAGGACTTCAAAATCTAGACATCCCATTAGTACACTGGGAAAAATCTCCTTGCTAAATATTTAATACAGTACTAAGATATAAGGCCTCATTAAGATTTACCTCAAAGAAGACCAGTCATTATGGATACTTAAGAGTTGCATAATACAAGCTAGACTTCCACCCACAGCAATTTTAAAAAAAAAAGTATAACAAAATAGCCATTTAAAGTCCGAGAATAAGATACTTTTAATTTAGGTTCCCTTAACTATAATTTGCAGTGAGATTAAGTCTCCCATTAGAACAATAACTTTATACCACTATGTTTAAGAGAGTCTTATTCTTGGATAAACATAAATAAAAACTAAATACCCCAGCAGACTTCTGAGGTGGGAAGGTAGGGGGGGCAGGAGGAAGAGAAAACTAAAATAAAAAGCAACATGTACTTTATTCTCAGTCCCCCCACCTAATGTTCTTAAAAAAAGAAAACTTGAAGAGGGGTTTGAAACTACTTCTTGTTTTTTTACCTTCACACTTTCCACAAATAACATTCTTTTGCAGTGCCAGTTTCCTTGTAATACCATTATACAAGTCTTCAAGAGATACACCTAACTGGTGCACAACATTTTTGCCTTAAAAAAAAAAAAAAAAAAAAAGAAAAACAAAAACAAACACAAGAGAAGGATTATTTCTGGTTCAGCTGTTGTAAGGACAAATGTCTATTTAAAGGCTTCATACATGCATAGTCTCACTGAAGAAACGTGAAGTTCATTCCAAACTTTGAACACAACTCAACCCCCTTAAAAGCATGTGCAGTTCCATCAGCTTCCACTGAGCTGCACCCACTTATGTCAGAACACAAAAGTGTAGCTGTAATTAAGCAAAGCATCATTAAAGCCACCCTATTGCTGTGCTTACCCCAATTTTGTAAGTTTAACTGAAACAGCAAGATGCAAGGACACTACCAGCTTCACATCTAGTCAATTTAGAAGTTCCTGTTATGACAGTCTATAGATTTCCATACCACTTATGATTTCAAAGATTTTACAGCAAGTCACTACTTGCTCCTTCAACAGATCACGGGCATAGAGAAAAACAATAAAAAATACTGTGCTTTTGGCAGCACTCTTGTACTTGGTTTCACATAATTTTTCCCAAATATTTTCATGAGATTTAACATTACTGAAGTTTAAGTTGATGGTGTCCTTTCAAGCAAGTTACCCTAAGCACATAAGCAAATAAGGCACAGACGTGGAAAAAAAAGTAACTTAAAACAGGTCTAATTCAATTGCTCTAATCTACCAGTGTTTCCCCCTCCCCTACAGATTACCCACACCCACTTTAACAAAAAATAAACACAACTCAGAAAGATTGCTATGGCTACATCATGTTATCTATTTCGTTAGAATCTTAATGCTAGAGTAACTACACCCCCCCCCCCCATACTTTACTCAATCTATTGTTGCAATGAGTAATATCCACACTATGTGCACTTAGCAGAACAGCAGTACCATAGCACAGGTATTTTATGCTTAAGTGCATGGTTAGAGTTTCTAGAACTTGTTTAGAACTGTGTACCTCTTCTCTCTCTATTCATTCGGCCTCCACCACCAAAGAACATGTCAAAGATGTCCATGGGTGAAGAGAAGCTGCCGCCACTCAGGCCTCCTTCTTTAATAGCCTGCTCCCCACCCTGGTCATAGAGGTCCCTTTTCTTTGGGTCCGACAGAACTTCATATGCCTGGGATATGAGTTTAAACTAAAAAGAAAAAAGAAGCTCTGAACAACTATGACCATGAGGATAAGTAACCTGAGCCACTACAGCATTTCTTTTTCCAAAACTCCCTAAACAAATGTGTAATAGACTGTAATAGTACACTTTTGTCCAGGAAAACCACCCCTTTTCTCCCTTTCCCCCCTCCTCCCATGCTACAAGTGTGCTTTATTCGGAGTCACATTCGACTTATAAGCATATGCAAACTACACTTCCATGACTGTGTCAGTCACAACCATTATACACCTCTAACAAATCCATTTAAGAAAGAATATACCACTATCCCCAAAGTCTTGAGGGTCCCCAGATGCTCAATGGCCACAGCACTGCTAGTCACTCTAGGACTACACAGGGATCCTTTGTGCCTGTTGAGCTGCTACATCCAGCTGGAACTACAGAGTGACCAGGGACTGGTGTTGCTTACTCATCACAAAAAGAAGGACTTGGATACAAATCAAAACATCCACTTTATCAAAACAATTAAGGGATTTTTTTTTCAATAGCTATGAAGAATTTCGTATTAGTGAGATGACCAAGTCAATTTTTCAACAGTTTGCTATTACTGAAATGCCTACTTCCATTTTAAGCATGATTTACTTATGACCAGGTAAAGGGGTGTAAGCAAAAAAGCAGGCCAAAAATCAAAGCAGAAGAGGGTGCCTTTGACTATGTTACTGTTTAACTAGCTTGAGTTTCGTAAATTGGTGTCCTAAATACAGAAATATGGTGCTTTTATTCCTATGTTAAGGTATCATCAGACTAGCCTCTAGACAAATAATCCTATCACTCTAATTTTCCACAGTTCTCCAATTATGGTGCTCATTTATTCTCCGAGGCAATATGTGAAGTTGAGGAGGTCTCTGGTAATAGCAAAAGGGTCTTGTTGTAAACAGTCCACCCAGGTTCAACCCAACGATTTCCTCTGCATAGTTACCTCACACATCTGCATTAGTATTTTCTCTGAGCAAAACTCATCCTATTCAGGAACACAAATCCATGCACTGCAAGCCCAGCACGCACAGTAGTGCTGCCAGCTGGATCCACCACTGGCCTCGGCAACATCTGACACAGCACGATGGCCATTAGGACACTAGAATTTCTTTCAGCTTTGCCTGTGTTAACCAGCATCTCCCACTGCCAGCCACAGGAAGACCGGCAGGAACTGCATCCAAAAACAGGAACAAGCGCATCCCCGCCTGCCGCAGCTGGGCCACCAGGCCTGCTGCAGCCGTCACAGGTCTTTTACAGACTCTGAACACCGGCAGCCTTCATTTAATCGCGCTAGGCCGCGGGAAAGGCATTACGTCCGTCCTTTAGGCAGAGTTTTAAAGTACAACGGAGAGCGCGCTTTCCGCCATTGTACATGAACAAGGTGTGTGCGGAAGGCCCGCGGTGCCCCACGCGCGCCGCTCCGCGCCAGCTCCCGCCGCAGCCGCCCATCTTGAGGCCCGGCGGAAACTGCAGTGAGCCCGGGGGGGAGCGGCAGGGCCCGGCCCCGGCCTCCCGCCACCCCGCCGGAAACGCCTGCCCAGTGCAGCGGGCGCCGCCGGGAGCGCTGCCGCCCCACGGCGGGCAAGCGGGAGGCCCTCCCCAGCCCCGACCCCGGCCCCGGCCCCCGCGTACCCGCTCGCCCTCGCTGGGGTTCTTGTCGGGGTGGTACTTGAGCGCCAGCTTGCGGTAGGCGCGCTTGATCTCCTCGGAGGAGGCATTGGGCTTCACCTGCAGAACGTCGTAGTACTCCGTCTCCTTCACCATGGCGCCCTGCGGGAGGACGCACCGCGTTACCCCGCGTTACGCCGCCGCCCGCCCGCCCCCCCCCAGGCCCGCCCAGGGCCCAGGCCGCGCTCACCGCCGCGGCCGCTCCGCACCGCTCCTGCCGCCCGCTCGCCGCTCGCCTTTGCCCCGCCTCTTCCGCGCGTTTTATATGGGCGCCGGCCGAATCTTCTGGAATGACGCTACCCTACGTCACGGCCCTGGAACGGTCTAGAATTCCCGCGCGTGACGTCACCGCCGGTACGCGCAAGGGGAGGGGCCTGTTGCCGCGCGCGGGGTGCCCGCGGCGGCGGGAGCGTGTGGGGGGTGGTGGCGGCGGCGGCGGCGCGCTGGGGGGCCCGCGGCTGAGGCGGTGGCTCCCGCCGGCCTCCTGAGGGAGCAGGCGGCCCGCCGAGGGGCGGGTTCTCCCCACCCGGGTTTGGGGCGCTGAAGTGTAGTTTTAGGGCAGCCTTCTGAGTCGGTGGTGGATTTCCCGCCTTTCTCTCCTAGTGAGGTTCGTTAATTCATGTTCCACCATCCTACAAACGTCCCCGGTCCTGGGGAGAGAGTATTGGCTGTGCGTTGGAAGGTGTTACTTAATAGACCGCATTTCTGATGATTCCTTTCTCAGTATTTTGGGCGGTTTAAAATTAATTTGGCTAGTAGTGTGCCCTACTCTCTTGCTCACCCTTTCATCAAGCCGGCCTACTCTGAGTGGGCTACAAAGCTGGGTTAGTTTTCATCTTTCTCCAGGCAACTGAAGGTCTCCAATTAATTATTTACTGTCCAGGTGAAAGGACATAACTGGTACTGGTGTGGGAGCTGAGTAAATGTGTATTTTTGTAGAAGACAGTGCTGCAAATCATAAGTGAAAAATACAGAAAAACATTCTGAATAACGGGTTTTGGTCAAACTGGAGATGAGTAGAAATGCTTATAAGCTGTTTTTTTTCCATTTTGTGTGGGGTTTTTTGTTTGGTTGGTTTTTTTTTGTTTGTTTGGTTGTTTTGTTTTTTGTTTGTTTGTTTTTTATTCCAGGAATCAGGTTTTTATTCCTGGAAACACTTTTATGAAACAACATCTGTGGTTATGATAACCCAAAGACTGCAGTGCTCTCTCAACCACAGTACAGGTAAAAAGATGACTGTGAAGCAAAGAACAGTGTTGCATTGTCTAACAGTGGAAAACAGGGAAAAAGAAAGGCAGTATGGGCTTTGAATGAAAAATTTTTATGATTTAAAGCGCTTGTGCCATTATAATGAATTTTCTACTGCATTTCAGGTAAATACGACTAGAAAATTGAATTACTGCAATCTGTTCTTTGTGTATTCCTGCTTATATTAATCATGTAGACTTACTTATTAACGGAGGAAGAATTAACGTGTAGGAAAATAACCCAAAAGGTTGAGGAAAGGAACTGTTCAAAGCCACAAGAAAAATCAGTGTTGGTAACAATTATTTTCTCTAAGCATAATTATCAGTAGCTGAACATGTAAATCTCAGTTTTGCAACTGTGAAATTATGCTGATAAGTAAATACAGAAATTATTTTCTAAAATAACTGTAGTAAGTTACTCTGTGAACTTATATGTTAAGGACTATATATCGTTTTTATAAGGGAAAAAAGTTTATTCTAGTAATGGTCTTTACATTAAAGATAGATTAGCTATAATCCTGTAGTCCTGAAGTAAATACTCCTGTTCGAGAAGAAATGATAAATCTGTTAGCAGTAGCTGAATGTTTCAGCAGATGAGAGGCTTTCAAAGTGCATAATGAATTTCACTGTGAACCAAATTTCAAAAATGGATTTATAGTATGTTGTAAAGAAATAGTAGAAAATTACTGTGTGTAAAAACAGAGAATTACTGTGTGTACCTCATGTAGGTATATGTAGATATTGGTAAATATAATATGAATTTAGACTTGTGGATGGTTTCTTAGTAGTAACAGTTGTTACTCGTAGTAATGGTCAGAAGCTTTGCTGGTGTGGAACTTCGCTTAAGGGGATTGAGCCTCCTGCTTTGTTTACTTTTCCTGCATTTTATTAGAGAGGAGCTATCCCATTATATTTACTTTAATATTCAGTGTTATTTTTCTCCATCTTTGGTTCCAGTTGGAACAACCAAACTCCTGATTGATTCAAAGAATTAGTGGGAAAAGTAGTTAAGTCTAGTGTTTTGAATTAGAAAGGTAGGAGAGATACCAGTCCATCAGTATTCTTCACACCATCATTTCCATCTCTTACATTGCTCTAGTCCTGAGGGGAATGCAGTGCTTCTCTATCTGTCTCAAGCAAAACATTTCCTATTTATCAATACTATATTTATGGAACAAAGTTGGAATCCTCAGCAGGTGATTTTACTCATCTGTCATAATTAGTAATAAATGTAATACAACCTTTAGACATGCAGACATATTTGCCAGCAATTACAGTGGTAGTTCCTTTACTCAACCAACCTGGTTATCAAGTGTGTATATGCTCAATTCTGTTTCCTCTGCTCCTCTCCTTGCCTCCTGAAGTCTGTGGTTGTTTCTAACCAGCGTTGCTTACCCATTTCTCAGATGAGTTAATCTGATCTCTTATTATCCTTTCCCTTCCTCTCCCTCCTGCTGCACATAATATTATGGATCACCTTGTGGCTTTACTTGCATGGAATCAAATTTACTTGTAGGTGTAAACCGGGAAACAAGCAGAGAATTTATGTTCTCTGCGAGTAGGCAGGAGTGGACTGGGAGTGGGGAATAATTAGATCCTACTGCCCATTTTATTTAACCACTAGAGGACACTGCCTTTGGTTCCAAAATAGGTATTTGCACTATTAGTCCAAAGCAAGAGTCTCAAAACGCTGCCTCCCACCTGGCCTTGGAAGCATACAGCATCTTTATGTGCTACAAGAATTATGCATTTATCTTTTAATCTCTGCTATATGAAATACTCATTGAATCTCCTTATCTGCTTTTCTGTCCTTTATCTGACCATGTTACCATTTCTTCTTAATCCTGCTTTATAAACTGTGAAGCTTCAGTAGTCCCTCCAGAAGGTGAAATCTGAATCACAACAGACTTTCCTTGGTGTTGAGCTGGATTCTTTCAGCATGTCAATCTGAACAGGTATCACGATTTCTACAAAGCTGTTAGGAAGACACTCTTTAAATAATATTTTTAACCTATGATTTTTAGTCTTATTTAAAATATACTTTAAAAAGGCTACTTAAAGCATAACAGTTTCATGTAACGGACCTTTAATGGTACTGGAAATTTTCCCCTATAATTAATATCTGAAAAGGATGTTTTATACAGAAATAAGGTCTTAGGAAAATCTTTCTGCTTGCGATGGAAAGTATAAGATCTGTATATGCAAGAAAGTTTAAATGCTGGCATCTGCTTTGAGCTATTTTAGGGCAGTATATAGTGAGCGACTGGCATCTTTAGAAAATTTTTTTGAGGGAAATTTTAAATAAAATGTGCAACCATCTGTAATGATTAATTTTAATTCCTAGTAATACAGAATGATCGTGGTACAGTTTTGATTGGTTAAAGGCTGGGCATCTCTAAGTGGTTTGAGTCTGTAGAAAATCTGGCTGCAAATATTTTGGGATTAATTAACACCTATAGGTAACTGTGAAAATGCAAGCTAGGTACTTTGAGTCTAAAACAATCTTTTCCTCAGAAAAAAAGCAGCAAAATTGTTTCTAGATGTGCCTGTTCTTAGACCAAATGTAGTTTTGACCTGACAGGACAGTCTGCCTCTGTCCAGTTTCTCAAACACCTGCCTCTTTCTCCAGGTGTGCATTCACAGCTACTTTATTTTTTTTTTTTTTTTCCCCCCTTATGATTCTCTTCCTTAATTAATACAAACTGGTAGTTACAGGCAAATCTAAGATGCTTTTATTATTGATGAGTCATAATATTTTTACTATGACTCCAGTAGCTTTGCACAAACTAATCTGTGTTTTTCTGTATATTGTCGTGGAACAATTCCCTAGAAAGCAGAATGCATTGTTCAGAAAAAAAACAAAATAAAATTCCTGTTTCTGTGGCATGGTCAATAAGAGGAGATATTTTTAGAGATTGCTACTGGAAATTTAATGAAATACTAATACATGCAGCTGGTTATGCTTGTGGACAGCAGTGTTGTGTGGGGTAAACTGATTGACCTGACAAAGGTGCATGAGTATTGTTGGTTTTGCCTAGAAATGCTAATTTGAGCATGGGTAAATTCTCTTCAGTTCTGCAAGTATGGGGAGACACAGCTAGGGTTAAAAGTTGTCCTTCTAATCTGAATTCCTTCATTAGAAATGAATTATTTTACAAAGTGTATGTGAATTTAAAAAGATGTTGATTGACTGAGGCTTTTCATTATGGAATTTGCCCTCAGTATCTTCTCCTTGTCCCATGTGAGCGTAAATTTGTTGATCTTTAAGGTATGTGTTGAGAATCATTTGTTTACCGAGACTTAATGGCAGCTTAGCCACAGTAATGTTTGAAGACATGTTTGGATTTAGAATTTTGCTTAGACCCTGAAACCTACTCTCATTTAAGAGTAACTGTGTAGTTGATTATTTTTTTATTTTAGCTAAAATGTTTTAGAGGCCAAAATTAAGTCTTTGATTTTATGAGAAACTCGGGGAAAAAAAAAAAAAATTAATTTATTGTGTTTGAAAGCTGTATATAATCACAGTAAATGCAGTTAACCAGCCATTCTGGAACATAGCAGACAAAGGACTGCAATTAGTAGCAAGTTGAAAAACTGCCAGGCTTTTAAGGGGACTGATTTGAAATAATGAAAAAAAGACTAGAAGTGGTGCCATTTTTGTAGAAGAATGTAACAGAGCCTTTGAAATAGAAAATGTAAAGGTTATTAGATGTTTTGCTGGTGGTTATTGTAGGGTGTTTTTTTTTTTTTCTGTTTTAGACTCAGTTCTGGAAGTCTGGAATAACAGTGGGACTGCCAGATTAACATCATGTTTGTACCAAAAAGCATTGTTTTATACTAAGATGTTTGTTATCAGTTACACGATTTAAAAAAAAAAAAAAAAAAAAAGGCAAATCACACAGTGATTTTGTTACATGAATCAACAAACTACTAAAACTAATTGGGATGAACAGCAAGGAGCATCTGCAATTAGTACAGTCCTTCAGTCATTTTAAATAAATACAAGTTTTATGGTGAAACATAAACGTTCTTGCCTTACAAGTAAAGGAA